TTTCTTTTTAGTGTGTTTGCTTGGTTGATGACTCTGGTAATCGAACAATGCGACCATGTCTCTCGAGTGCTGTGAAGATTCAGGTTTGTGTTTTCTATTTTTTGGCATATATATATATATACATAGTTATATTGAATTGGTTTGTTGTCAGTAAGAAAGAATGGTAAAAACTGTTTTTCTTTCAGGCAGATGAATTAAGCAAAGAAGATTTCACAGGCTCTAAGGTTAAAATCGTAGCTCCTCTAATCTTTCTTTGCCATTAGGAAGCATTGTAAAATCTATGGAGATTTGTTCAGATACCGTTGTTGATGGTCTTTCTCTCTACTGCAGTGGTTGGTCCTAAGATATGCTGTTCTTAATTTAGAAGTAATTCAAGCAGCCATTCGATTTGCCAAGCAAGAAGGTCTCTCTGTTTCGATGGATTTAGCTAGTTTTGAGGTATATCTTTGGTTAAAAAAAACTCTTGTTTTCAATATGATCTGTGGCTTTACAAATGATTAAGCATTTGACCTTTTCATATTGAATTAAATATATATATAAACGTATTTGTGACTAGATGGTCCGGAATTCTAGATCAGAGCTTCGCCAGCTTCTGGAGTCTGGTAACATAGATCTTTGCTTTGCTAACGAGGACGAAGCAGCAGAGCTCCTTAGGTAATTGATGTTTCTTTATCCTCTACACAGGTTTTTTTTGTTCCATTTCTCTTGAGTCCATGAAATACTCTTAAGCTCTGGATTGTGAGTTTCAGGGGTGAGCAAGAAGCGGGTCCGGAGGCAGCTCTTGAGTTCCTAGGCAGACATTGCAGATGGGCTGTGGTAACTTTAGGGCCTAAAGGATGCATTGCAAAACATGATAAAGAGGTTTGTCTCTCCTAGAAAACTCGGTTACTAATAATTAATAAAGTACGTTTATGTTTCACTTAGCTTGAACTCTTTTCGCCTGCCCCTAAGGAAAAAATTTCCTTACAAATCCGTAGTTCAAATTGTGATTTGAAGGCTCACCTTTCAGTATTGGGATTGAGGGATTTATGAATCAACTATGAAAAAGCTAGAACCTTTGGTCTTAATCTCCTTTGCCTTTTTTATCTATTTCAAGATCTCACATTTCTTGTTAGGTTCTGGCTGGATTCTAAAGCTCATAATGAATTAGTGTTTTCATCTCCTAACTTGATCAGGTGGTACAAATACCAGCCATAGGAGAGACAGTAGCAACTGATGCCACAGGAGCGGGTGACCTATTTGCAAGCGGGTTTCTGTACGGATTAATAAAGGGATTGTCTTTGGAAGAATGTTGCACAGTGGGATCATGCAGTGGTGGATCTGTCATCCGTGCTCTTGGAGGAGAAGTAACCCCAGAAAACTGGCAATGGATGCACAAACAGTTGCAGTTGAAGGACTTACCTGTTCCTGACATCCACAACTGATGATCACCAGCAGATTGTAGAATTTCAATCAATTGCGTTGAAGGGCCATTCTGATTCAAGCAGCTCTTAGCATTATGTTGTTCACAGCGAATCTCACAGCATTTACTTAAAGCAAGTGCATTGTATCGTATTGAGGTCTCAGTTTAATTCAATACACATTGTGTTGTTTTCAAATTATTTTGCCAAAAATAAAAATGCGTTTGTCAGGGTTTAGAATCATTGATGATTTCAATCTTTACCTACTCCACCTTTCTGGTCCTTTAACAATCTGCCTTATCTGGCTCAAACCCTCGGACAATGTTCCTTTTTCTGGCTCAAAGTCAAACCCTTGAATATTTGGTTTACACATTTGATTTAGATTGTTTAATTTCTATTGGTTTGGTTACGTGTAACCCCATAAATCCATTTTTTTTGTGTCATCCCATAAATCCATTCTTACCCAAACTATTTCAATCCAACTGATTAACCCATTTAATCTTATTAAGTTCCAAATTTTCCACTCATTAAATCCATATATTGGATTGGTTTGGGTTGAACCATAAACTTAAATCCATTTTGACACCCCTAAGAAGGCCAATGATTGAGCCAACTAAACATGTGATGCTATAGCCAACATCGTCTCTCTCTCATTTGAATAAGTGACAGTAGGAGGAACTAGGAAGGATACCCCCCTTTAATAAAGGAAGCTTATGTTGTGAGGCTGATTTTTCACTATTGGGCCTGTAAGCCTAAAACAGATCAAAATTTTAGTTTTCTTTCTTTCAGCTTTGAGTTCAGCCCAAGTATCGAGTGATAAACGTTAAGGTAAATGCTGTGAAGTTGTGGCAATCATTAACGTAGAGTGATTGTTGTAGCTCTATCATCAATATGTTATGCTGATGTAGATAACAAGTCTCTTATTATAGATTTTATCACAGGAAACTCTAGACATTTAGTGTAAATTCCCAAAAAACGAAAGGGAATTTTTATTACTGAACACAAGCTAAAGGTTATGGTTTTGCCATATAGGGACTACGATTTGCTACAAGATAAAACAGTGACACTGGAAGAAGATCCACACAACTCTTAAGAGTATGCTTGCTTCAGCAATTGAAGTAGCAGAAACATGCGAAACCCGGGAACTGAGCGTGACAAGCCCCGTGTGAAGCACGTTCCCAACTCTTACACTGACTGTCACAGCCACGAGTGTTGCCACAAAACCCTGTCCATGTCTTGCTTCGCCTCTCGCAAATTCTTGCTTCCACCGCCATCATCTCTGCAAATTCTCCAAACACATGATATCATCATCATCTTCCATCTATGAGATTCATACATGTTACAAAGAGATTAGAGTTGAAGAAGCTTAAAGTGGAGTGATGATCATACCAGTGGAAGCGATAAGGAAGATGGAGAGGCAAAGGAAGAGCATAAGTGTGTAAGAAGAAGCCATGGCTTATTTTTGTTATATGGTAATATCCACTAGCTGAGAGCTCTTTATATACAAATGTATATGAAAAAAACGTTTAATCTTTGAATGTATAACAATTATCGTTCTCTAGAACTCTCTTTGTATTTTGTATAGTGTGAACTGGGAGAAACTATGAAGCCTAATATTTATCCAAATTCTTATCCATACAAGTTTTGACTATAGACTTTGTGATGATAGTCTTTTGACGTCTAATTTGTTCGGACATGTTAGAGCATCTCCAACAGTAATGTCTGGAGTAATGTCTGAAGATTAAATAAATAGAAAATAATATAAAAATAGGAGAGAGTGTAAACTTTGAGAAACTGTGTCTCCCACTTGTCTTTTTATTATTGGCCAAATTCTTTTTTTATAATTTATAATTTAAATAAATAACCTATTTATTATAAATTGATTAAAATAGTATTTTTGAGACACCCACACAATGTGTGTATATTAATTATTCAAATTTTATGTTTGCATTAAAAAATGTTAAGCACTGACTAATTAACTATAAACATAAATGAAGACACGAAATTATGAAAGTCCATATATAAAAATTGTTCGAACGGAAGTGTACGGTGGACGGTGGTCAAAACAGGACATGAACCTGGCTAAGCATTACAAATTATGTCGAACATGCATGTAACGGTATCTAAATTACTTTAAAAAAATTTTGTACGATCTAATTATTTGCTTGATATTGTCGGAATATATATGAAAGATGGTATGATTATGACAAAGATTGTTTGATCGCGACCACAGAATCAGACCGTGCTTGGCTCTGCACATACATAAACCTGTAATTTCTTTTAGGCTACTATATTTTCTAAAATAAATGGATTCAACCTTGATCGTTGAAACTTGAAAATGTTACATTTCCATCTTTATTATGTGTGTCAACTGTGAAATTGCTTTTAAGCACGTGACTCATCTCATCTCACGTGATTCTCGGATCTCGGCCATTTTTCTTGATTTTCCGATTTCCATGACCCTCGTGATTGTGATACTAAATTCTGAAGCATGATGTGTGGATAAGTTTGTTTTTGGCGCGTGACTTTCACGTGTCCGCTAAAAGGAGTTTACAAGTGGATTTAGGCTTTATAGTAGATTATTTATACATGCTCACCAACCTCCATTTACATATACTTATTGTTCTTCACCTATGTACTACACATTATCTTGTAATATACTAGTATTATATTGTTAGAGATAGCGTTGTTGCTTCATAGAAACTTAAATTTATATGATCCGTTATTACTTGATGCAAAAGAACATTTTACTTCAGGAAAATTCAAAAAACAGCTCGAATTAATATCTACACCCGAATCTAGAAAATTTAATATGAGATGTTTATAGGGAAACTTGCTATATCGATAGGAGATCTTTAAAATATTCTGCAACCTAAAAGTATATACAAATTGAACATGTCGGATATAATAGTATCTATATATGTATGTGCATATAAAATGGAAAAATTCTAGTTTTATAAAAACCAAAAGATCTACCAACGAAAGCAATGCCAATAATATATATTGGAGTAATATCCTGCAATCTAAAATATATAATTTCTTACTAAATTGTAAATAAATTTTATGACAATGACGTATTAGTATTGACACCATAATATCCATATAGTGGCCAAGGTACGTAGATAGAAAATATATTTTAAACATCCACATGATAACCTATGAACCTAAATGGCTTATATATATATATGAACTCCGATAACAATTAATTTCACCGCTCTGTAGTCTATGAATATATTTTATTATTTATATGACATACTAAACCACTAATAATCAGAAATGTTAGTAGGGCAAAAAAAAAATCATAGGTTAAAAACGAACCATAAAATTTGCTTAATTACATTGTCTAAAAACGTAGGAAAATTGAGAGAAATAGACAGCAAACAACTTCTAATTTATGCAATAAAATAATACCCAGACACAATTTATATAAAAAAAAAGAAGGGTGAGTTCTTAATTGGGACATTATTGGTCGAGTGTCCACAATATTAAAATTTTGAGATGGCCAAGCAAAATATTATTAAATGACCATTATGCAATCATATTAATTTATTTTAAAGTCCCTATAAAAGGACCACACTAACCTCTAGTGATCGTATCTGTATCTGTCTCAGTATCAGTATGTCTCTTTCTCCAACCAGAATATTTTCTTTCTCCCTATCTTTCCTTCATTAATCCGATCAATATTCCCGGAGAATTTATCATATATCTTCACTTTCCCGTTTCATTTCCTCGCAAAATATTCCATAGATTTCTTTCTAACATACACATTACATATCTATATATACACCATAATTAAGCTCACAATTTCTATACACTAAAAAATGGAGGCAGAGAAAGCAGAGGCGAGTAGGAGATACAACAATCCGTTCCAGAATATTCGATCCTACGTCGAAGTGGCCGGCGTCGTAGCTCTCGGTTACTGTTGTTTACCGGCGATCGTGAATCTACTGCATGTGGTGGTTCCCAATTGGTTCGATTGGTTTACTCTGGTCCTAAGAAACCTTTTCTTTGTTTTCGTCGTCGTAAACGTTATCATCTTCTTGATTTACATTACCTTTAGTAAAACCAAAACCACGGAAAAAAAGGAACCAGAGATTTACGATCAATATGTAGCCGCCTTGCCCCCACCCCCCACCGTCACGCCGTTCGACTACTATGATATATTGAAGGTTGGAGATTTTGGATATGAAAATAACTCGAGTTACAGAGAGATTGTACCGGAGTTTCAAGCGGTTAAGGCGGTTGAGGAGAGTAGATGTACTTATGATCAAGAAGTGGTGGAGATGAGTTCGAAGAGTTATAGGAGGACGAGATCGGAGAAGAAGAAGACGGAGAGGATGGTGGAATTTCGGAGGACGGAATCGGAGAGGGTGACGAAAACGGGGTCGTGGAGGTCGCAGTCTATGGATGGTTTAAGCAGCGAGGAGTTTCGTATGACGGTGGAGACTTTTATCTCCGAGAAGAAGAAGATGCTTATCCGAGATAGCGGCGTCGTTGATCAGTGGCAAAACGGCTACGTTCACTTTTGGGAACACGACTACGTTCCTCAGTGGCAAAACGGCGGCGTTCCTCAGTTGCAAAACGGCTGCGTTCCTCAGTGGCAAAACGGCGGCGTTCCTCAGTTGCAAAACGGCGCCGTTAACCAGTGGCAAAACGATGTCCCTGAGCCTCAAAACGGTATCGTTCAGTGGCAAGGATCTCGTGACGATGGAAGTGGTCGTCATCGTCATCGTCATGGTCATCGTAGTCGTAGACATAGGCTCGAGGGTGGCTCTAGCTCTAAAGGTTCTGGTTCGTACTTAGCTATATCGAATTAGAGTTTGTATTAAATTTTCTGAATCTGATTATATCATTAGAAATATCTGATTTGCCAGGAAAAGATTATACTATTATTATTGTAGCTTTCTAATAACGCTTTTAATTTTAACTTCGGTGGCTCTTTTACGATTCATGTGGTATCTTATTTATTTATTTTTATTTTTTTTCCATTTGCTCTTGTTAAACTGTGGCATTATTTTGTGTCTCATGAAAGGATGCAACTTATTCATAAGTTAGGGTCCAAAATGGTAAATAATATTTTTGGTTTAGTTAGCAGAAACTAGAAATGCCAACTTAGACATAGAAAAGGTATTTTAACAAATTCATTTGAGTTAAAAGTATCAACTTAAGATTTAGTTTTGATTTTAGGCAATCTCAAGTTGATACTCTTAACAAAATAATAAAACCCCTAAAATTAATAATGTCGGACTATAATAGTTGATTAGTTTATAGTAATATTATTATTAGATAAATTAATATTTATCAACTTATAAAGAGATTTGTTTAATTGTTTTATTATTTATGATTTCACCTCAAAGTTTTAGAAAAATCTGAGTTGAGAAAATATAATCTAAATAATATTAATGATTTGAATATTATAAATTTTGCATTTTTGGCATGAACATCTAACATTTAGACAAACAACTCTTCTCACGATAAATAACTATAAGACTAGAGAAAAATTGACTTATGCAAACGATATACATAAATTTAAATTTACGATTAATAATTTCATCTATCACATTTTTAAGAACCTATTCCCTCCGTTCTTTTATAAGTGATGTTTTAGGAGAATGCACATCAATTAAGAAATTATTTAATTTTTGTTTATTTTTAAACTAAAACATCATGTATTATCTAATCAACAAAAAAAAAATCACTTATTAAAAAAGTAATAAAATAATTCGTCAAAACCAATAAAAAGTAATTGGTTTTGCATTGAAAACTGAAGACATCATCTATTTAAGAACAAAATTAGAAGTTTAAAACATCACTTATTAAAATAAAAAAACTATGCATATTCAAAATTGAAAACTTACATAAAATTTTAGTTATATTCATGAAAAAGTTATATATGTATGATACAATATCATTGATACTACAATACAATTACTAATGTATGGTTTCAACGTTTTTAAAAAACATAGTTTTTGTTAGAGGTCGTCTCTAATTTTTGTTGTATCAAATATTTATTGTGTTTGTTGGTGTCGGATCCCGCACCAGAAGTACGAGACCAACCAAAGATTGCCACGTAATCAAGATAATGGCCCATAAAGGATGAAGCCCATTGGACCCGAGAGCCGAAGGGACGGTCGAAGTGGTTGTCACCATTTCGAGAATCCGAAGTGACTGCACTGTGACACGAGTTCGGTGTAGAAGACACGGGTAAGTCGGTTCAAGGACACTTGGGCCAAAAGAGGCGAGGCCCATGAAGATCAGAGTCAACTCAAATTCAAACGTTGAGCATTAAAGCCGAAGAATCAAAACGGACACATTTAAGAAGAAATAATTGTACTTAATTACTCATTTTAATGTCGTTTATCTATGTATAAATATAGAGGCCAATGGCCATGTAAAGGGGATATTCCTCTGGAGAAAAGAAATACTATAGCAATTTTTCGTACCAATTTATAAGTTTTTACATATTCATTTTTGTCCCTCAAGAATAATCTTTCCCACCTAATAGAATACTTGAGTGTGTGAATCCGACTTCCACATTTTGGCGCCGTCTGTGGGGACATTAGGTTCTTGAGTGGTCAGATTTTTTCTTTATCACACTTCCGAGATAAGCAACAATGTCCGGAGGAGACGCTGCTGAGACATCATTGGCCGAAACCCTCAAAGCTATGCAGCAAACCATGTCGGACATATCACAAAAGTTCTCGGATGTGGAAAAGGCCGTCGATACGTTGCAAACATCCCAGGTATCTCTTAGTCAAAACGTCAATAATATACAAACTCGTGTTCGCTCTTTAAGTGCAGGAAACCCGGTGGGAATCCGAAGAGGGATATTCAACTCGCCAAGTTCCGCTGCGCGAAATGAAACCAGCGGACAAACAACTCCCGGTGCTACTAATAATGTAGCTCAGACGTCGGAAGAAGAGACGCAGCTCGGGGATGAAGAACAACTTGCAGCTCAGTACGAGCAGGAGAACCTCGACCAGTTCGAGACCATGAGGAAAGTTAGCCAGGAATTAAAAGAAATGAAATCAAAATTTCATCAAGCTACAAGTTCAGAGCCAGACATCAATCGAGTCATTGAAGAAGCTAGGCGAACACCTTTCATCCCGCGAATTGCGAGTTTAAGGATCAAAGATTCCCGGAAACTCAAATTGGACCCTTACAGCGGATTGGAGGATCCAAAAAGCTATCTCGCAGCCTTTCTGATCGCTGCAGGAAGAGTCGAATTGGATGAAGCTGATGAGGACGCAGGCTATTGCAAGCTGTTTTCGGAGAATCTATGTGGCTAAGCTCTAATGTGGTTCACCCAATTAGAGCCGGGTTCGATCAGCAATTTCGACGAACTATCAGCCGTGTTCTTTAAGCAATACTCTATCCTTATGGATAAAAGCGTTTCGGATGCCGATCTTTGGAACTTAACACAAGGATCTAATGAGTCACTTCGAGTTTTCATCACCAAATTCAAAGGAGTGCTGTCAAAGCTCCCAAGAATCTCACAGCAATCAGCTTTATCTGCCCTACGAAAAGGATTGCGACATGATTCAAGGTTTAAAGAAGACTTAATACTTCATAAACCAGACACAATTCAGGATGCACTCTTCCGCGCAAACAACTGGATGGAGGTAGAAGACGAAAAAGAAAGTTTTGCCAAACGGAATAAACAAGAAAAGCCGGCAATCACCGTCCCTACCAAGAAGTTCGAGCCTAGGGAGAGCAAAGGACCAAGGAAGTTTGGGTCGCAACCCTTCAACAATACCGTCGAAAAGCAATTCCAAGGGAAAGGAAGATCAAACACTTGGGTCCGTGATGAAAGTCTATATTGCGACATTCATAAAGTAACCGGACATTTAACCAAGGATTGCAGCGTTCTTAAAAAGCACCTCGCAGAGCTTTGGGCTAGTGGCGATCTTCCTAAATTCAATATAAAAGAGTTTGTGAAGGAATACCACGAAGCAAAGGAAAACTCCAAAGATCAAGATTCCAAAAGACCGAGGTTATCCAACGAGGAAGAACCAAGGAGTTCGAAGGGTAAGATCAATGTGATTCTAGGAGGCTCCAGATTTTGCGGAGATTCAATAAGTTCCATCAAAAAACATAGACGAAATGTCTTACTCAAAGCAAGCTTGAGCGAAGAAATTGATTTTCGAGGTGCTTCAATATCATTTAACGAAGAAGAAACGCGGCATCTCGAAAGACCGCATGACGATGCTCTAGTCATTACTCTTGATGTCGCAAACTTCGAAGTATCAAGGATCCTTATAGATACAGGCAGTTCGGTCGACTTGATCTTTTTAAGTACTCTAGAAAAAATGGGAATCAGCCGAGGAGACATAGTAGGACCTCCGTCTCCATTAGTTGCATTCACAAGCGAATCAGCCATGTCTCTCGGAACAATCAAGCTACCAGTCCTTGCCAAGAAGGTATCGAAGATCGTGGACTTCGTTGTCTTCGATAAGCCCGCAGCCTACAATATCATCCTCGGGACTCCCTGGATTTATCGAATGAAAGCAGTCCCCTCTACATACCATCAATGTATTAAATTTCCAACATCAAATGGGGTGGAAACAATTCGGGGAGATCAAGAAGCTTCACGGACGTGTTACTTAGCTAGCCACCGTTTGAAGATCCAATAGCAATTAACAAAGCCCGCAAAAGAGGGACTAAGGCAAAAACCTCCTAGTGGGCAGGAAAAAGAGGATGTGGTAGTCGAAGTGGTGTTGGAAGAAGACAAACCAGATCGGAAAATTCGAATTGGAGCAACTTTGACTGGCCAAATAAAAGAAGCTTTGATCGAACTCTTAAGGAAAAACAAAGCATCATTTGCATGGTCAGCAGCGGACATGCCTGGCATAAATCCGAGTATAATTTGTCATGAACTAAACGTGGATCCAAGCTTCAAACCGGTGAAACAAAAAAGAAGAAAGCTTGGAGTGGAGCGGGAAAAAATAGTAAATGACGAAGTGGATAAACTTTTGAAGATAGGGTCCATAAGAGAAGTGCAATATCCGGAATGGGTAGCAAACACTGTCGTTGTCAAGAAAAAGAATGGGAAAGATAGAGTTTGCATCGATTTTACAGACCTGAATAAAGCATGTCCCAAAGACAGTTTCCCGCTCCCGCATATAGATCGACTTGTAGAGTCCACCGCTGGAAATGAGCTGTTGACGTTCATGGACGCCTTCTCGGGTTATAATCAGATAATGATGAACCCCGAAGATCAAGAAAAGACGTCATTTATCACAGATAGAGGTATCTATTGTTACAAGGTAATGCCTTTTGGTTTGAAAAATGCAGGAGCAACTTACCAACGATTGGTGAACAAAATGTTTCACAATCACCTCGAGAAGACTATGGAAGTCTACATAGATGATATGTTGGTTAAATCATTGAAGAAAGAAGATCATGTTAAACATTTGGAGGAATGTTTTGGTATTCTCAATAAATATCAAATGAAGCTGAACCCGGCGAAGTGCACATTTGGAGTCCCATCCGGAGAATTTCTTGGCTATATCGTGACAGAAAGAGGGATTGAAGCCAATCCAAATCAAATTAACGCCTTTCTAAACATGCCATCTCCAAGAAACTTCAAAGAAGTACAACGGTTGACTGGGCGGATTGCGGCTTTGAATCGTTTTATCTCGAGGTCAACAGATAAGTCGTTGCCTTTCTACCAAATTCTAAAAGGGAACAAAGGATTCCTTTGGGATGAGAAGTGTGAAGAAGCTTTTGGGCAGCTTAAGGCATACTTAACCACTCCGCCTATACTGTCCAAACCGGAAGTGGACGAAAAACTTTATTTGTACGTATCAGTTTCAAACCACGCGGTTAGTGGAGTCTTGGTTCGGAAAGATCGTGGAGAGCAGAAGCCAATTTACTACGTGAGCAAGTCAATGACGGATCCGGAAACCAGGTACACAATGATGGAAAAACTCGCACTCGCAGTGGTAAC